ATGAATATCATGTTTAGCCATCTGGGAACCATAGGACACCAAATGAGAACTTATTTTTGAGTCTCCGCATATTGGTCTTAGCCATATTAGCCAAAGGCTAAGGGCATGAGAGCACCCATATGAGTTTCTCAGAGAGTGAAGGAGGTGGGTCTAGTATAAGTTATTTTAGGGTTTTGGACATGTGGAGGGTTTTATGGATTTGAGTGTGTGTTGGTGTGTGAGAGATCAAATCTGAGTCACCAGGGTTGTCCTAAGGTGCATTGAACCTATAGGAACCCACTAGGGTTACTATGCAACTGCACAGATCAAAAATGAGGTCAACTATTTCATAGATAATTGTATGCAGTTTGAGTAAAGTTTTGCTAAGTTCATAAAAGAGTTTTAGCTTTCTCTGTGGGATTGATACTTGGGGTTTAAAAATAAAGTCCTTTATTACTTGAAATGATATGTGCAGTTGCGTAGTATCCCTAGTGTGTAAAATAAAATTTTTGAAAGAAGACGAGAATTATTTGATATATAATATTCAATTAAGAATTAAACATTACAAAATCGTGGCGGTGCGAGTTTTTAGAGCAGTCTTCTGAGATTGAAATTGAAGTAATTACACACTAAGCACACACTCATTTTGTTAGGGATCATTATTCAAATTGTTAAAATTATCATTAGCTTAATAGGTCCCCAAACAGAGTCAGCTCTAAGAAGGGATGGGTTCATTTATTAAATGTTAAAAATCCAGACACACTCGCAAGGTTCATTTTGAAATATAATGATTCAATGAGAAATTTTAGTATTGGACCATTTTTCATGCATGAAAATCCAAATAAAAAACTTTATGTAAAGATTGCATCTGATGAACACAAAATTGGTTTGAATCCTCATTATGTGTGGTTATGAATTTTATGCAACTTATAGATTGTAATTCTGATCACCAGATTGGTTTATGGAGAAAATGATAATTTCAGGGTGCATGGAGCATTATTCTTACATGAAAACATGAATTAGAGTTCAATATAAATATTATATAATATATTCATCAAAATTGTTTACATTGTTTATATGACCTTTATATTTAAAGATAAATGTCATCCAAGTTTCATAATGAAGTCTCAAGCCCTACAATAATGTGTGGAGAAAATAAAAATATTGGGATTTTTCTTGGTTGAAGCTGATTTTTGGTCAATTTTAGAATCTGGCAGAAGTCAGTTGTATTTAGTTATATTTTGACTTTTTTATCTAGTCAGATTTTATTTTTGGTTTAATTAGGGTTTAGCTCAAGTTTTAGCACATGTGAGCTTCAATTGGATATAAGTCATTGAAAAGGTTGACTGAAAGGTGATGTCAACGATATCAAAATATAAAGAGATGGTTTTTAATACTAACCTACATCAGAAAATTGAATGTTATATTAATGATATTGTCACCAAAGGTGAATTCATTGGTGATCATGTAATTGATCAAAGAACTTTTTTTCAAACAAATAAAAAAATATAAATTAAAAAATAATTATTTTGAAGTATGCATTTTTAGTTTCCCAAGGAACTTCTTAGTATTCATTTTTTATCATAATTGAATAAAAATAGACACTATTAAATTTAAATCCATTTGGAAAATAAAAAAATGTGAAAATGCTTAATAAAATTAAGTTCTCTTCATGAGAAACTTGGTTGGAAACACATTTGCAATATTAGTAAGAAAAAAATTTATTTTGGATTGGATAAATTTATTCATATTACTTTTCATAACATTAAAAAAATCAATAAATTCTTCATTAATGATATAACTAATACTTGGAAGAAGATTGACTCTTTAATAACTTTGATTCATCGTCAAAAATATTAATCACCGGGCATGAATATTGAGCCAATTTTTGAATATGAAACATTCCAAATTAAAATTAAAGATCACACAAAGCCATAATTTCAACAATTTTATAGTCAAAATAACCATCTCGAAAAGAAAAACTTGATGATATCAAAATAAGGTCGATTCGAATCTGAACGAGTACAGATTAAGCCATTAAAGTACAGTTGAAAATTTTTTATCATTAATTGGATGATCGAATAAATACCAAATTTGACATATTTATCCTCAAATCAAGCGTTTCTACGAGAATAATCCAATTAGCTAAAGGTTCCTTAATTATAAAACAACTAAAGCCTTCAAACAATTTAAGGAACCGATCAGGTGGTCACTAAAGTTATTCGCTAAATTAAAAATATGCCCCTCCCTAGTGGCTTTAAATATAACTACTTTATTCACTTGACAGAGGAGGAGGAGTCAATTTCTTGTGTTGTTTTCGACTAAAGACCCAATGATAACTTCCAACCTCCATAGTCACTGACTACCATCGACTAGCGCATGTTGGTTGTATTCAACCACTATTAGTTACCCTCTGCTCGCCATTGATAAACTTTGTTGTGCAATGAAGTTTCTTAAATATAGTGTAATGAAGTATCATTAATACAGTGTAATGAGGTATTCTTTACATATTGTAATAAAGTATTTTGAATATGGTGCAATGAAGTATCTTAAATACAATGTAACAATGTATTTCAAATGTGATGTAATGTATAATTCCACATTATTGATCTGATTATAACTCTTGATGAAAACCTTTTATGATCACTTTATTCAAAATCTGGTGAATTGCTCTATACTCTTGAAGCTTTCTATACATCATATACAAACAAGAGTTTTCTCTAATGTGAAATAATAAATATGAGAGAAGGGTTGCAACCATTAACTAATGTGGCTTCCCACTACTTCCTATGTGGCTAGTTGTTACTGTATCTTTTCACTATGGTCTATGTGAATAATTGCATTTTTTAAATTCTTTTAATATGGCTTATATGACCACCTTATGATCTTGTAGCAATACACTATGGTCTACATGGCCAGTTTTTACTATAGCTTCTGACTAAGGCCTGCGTGACTAATTGTTGTCATTAAAGTCTACCATTGTAGTCTTAATGTCTAACTAATGTTATTATTACTCCCCACTACAACTTGCATGAAAAACAATGGCCTATGTGGCTCACTTCTTTTGTAGCTTCCAACTGCAATCTTATTGTCTAGTTGATGCTTTGATAGCTTCGCATTGTAACCAATGTGACTAACTATAGCTTGTGCGGCTTAGTACTACTTCAACATCCAACTACAGCCTTTTTTGACCACTGACACTATTCCATCTCCCAATTGTAGCTTTTGATACCAACTATGGTCTATGTGACTCACTTCAGGTATAACTTTCAATTAAGGCCTATGTTGCTTACTACAACTACAACTTCCAACTACAACCTTTTTTTCAAATTGATGCAATTGCAACTCTCCACTCAGGCATATGTGACCAATTATGGGTTATGCGGCTTACTACTTCTATAGCTTCAAACTATGGCCTATGTGTTCAACCTAAGCTCATGCGGTTGCCAACTATGGCCTATATCGGCAATAACTATTACCACTTTCAACTACAACCTCTACTACAAACATAAACATTTACAGCTAGCGACAACAAAATTTGTGGCAAACCAGTCCATTTTAGCATTTAACTACAATCTTTGTAGCCAAGTATTATTTTTATTACCAAGAACTACAGTTGTTGTAGGCTAATTACAGCTATGAAAGCTGAAGAACTATTGTATATTTAAGTTATCAACTTTGTAATACATGTTTCCTAATTTAAGAGAAAATTGAAACTATATACTTACAATCACATAGTATATTAATTTGATTGGGTCAGACCTCGTTGTTTTTCCCATTACAAGATTTCTTCAAGTAAAAAAATTAGTGTCCCTCTAATTATTATTTTTTATATATGTCTGTATTGAATTATCATGCAATTTTGAGAAATTAAATTATCAATATATCGCCTTGAATCTCTTAGCACACAACAAATTTCAAATTATTAACAAATTACTCCTTCATCACACCACAAATACAAGCATGCACGCACACATGCACCCACGCACACACACCATGTATTACCTCTGAAGATATAAGATTAAAATACACATTCACATGTATAATAAAATAACATAATGGAGTTCATTTCGAAGAGATAGTGAGAACAAAATAATACAAATAAATTCATATTTGAATAATAATCAAATAATATTTGAACTTTATTCAACTTTCAATCTATGACTATACCATATTAAAGCATACTCAATAAATTGCTCCAATTTTCATCCAATATTATTCAATCCTTATTTCAATAACATTGCTCCTTATTAAATTACATTTGTACGTTCATTGAACCTTATATAAATGAAGTTCTAACTTTGCTATAATTTCTTTGATCCACCTTTGAAGTTTAAATGATCATTTTGGATTCATGGTGAACTTTTCTCTTAACATTGTTCATACCATTCAATAGTATGAACAAGATTCAAACCAATTCAATCATTCATTAATCATGGTTTGAAATAGATAGAACATGTTCTTAGAATGCAATATGTTGTCTAATATCGTTCAAAGTTTAGGGATGTGAATGTGAATTACTAATTCAAAGTTAATAATATCACTAATCTTGAAGTGTGAGTTAAAGTTGGGGATGGAAACTTTATTGTGAAAATTTGCCATTTAGTGATCATACACGTTGTGAGAACACCGGGGAATAAAATGATGTTAGGTATAGTACACTATGACAATTTTAGATATAAATTCCATAAAATGAAGATATTTTCAACTGAAATAAACATCAAAATATATCTTCTCAAAAAAGAAAAAAAACCCATAAATCTGAGAGATTATTACGTTCGGAATCCACACATATATATTGGTGGTATTTTGATAATATCGGTGGTATTGTACAACCAATACTACCAAATTAGCGTAATCTAGACCCATTCGCAACCTATCTCATCTAGACTTAATATTTTTTTCATAAATTTTATCAATTACTACTTACCAGACATATAAAGTCAAACTTGTTTCAAATTCTTATTTTTATTGTTACTTCAAAGAATTACCATTCTCTAATTTTATTCAAATTTCCTGTTCATTAATCTTCTCTAATTCTCCTCGAAGGCCAACTGTTGCCCCTTGTATCTGTTTCCAGCGTAACTTGCCTGCTGCTTCCGGTCGAATTAATTGGCAGCTCTCCGTAGTCATCTCTCCCTCTATGGCGATCATCATCAACGCTACATCCATCTCCTTCATTTTTCATAGTTTACTCCGCATTTTTCATTTGTTGGAGAAAATAATACCTCTTTCGATTATCAGATACAAATGAAGTTTCTAATTCATGAAAGCCCCGAATCAGTTAACAGTGACATCAGTCTTCATTTTCTTCAACAGCACAATCTGCACCAGATCCGACATCAACCAAACCTTAATGCGGCATCTTCGCCTATCTCCCCTCCTCCGCATCCAGTTTCCCAGACCGTTGTCCACCTCAGCGTCATCGTCGTCGTCGTCAGAGCTTGACGATGGCTTCGTGAAGACCCTCCTCGACATTGTCTTCTCGAAGAACCAGCATTGGCGGGTCGCTCTCTCCAATACCTTCATCTCCTCCCGCCTCCAGCAGCGCCATGTCGAGCTCGTTCTACTTCAAATTACTGATCAACCTCGCCTAGCCCTACGCTTCTTCAACTTTCTCGGCCTCCATCTTCGTTTTCCCCATTCCCCACTATGTTTCTTTCTTCTCGTTCACTCCCTCCTTCGATATGGACTCCACTGGCCCGCCTCCTCTCTCCTCCAATCTCTCGTCTGCCGCCCCACCTCCCCCGCTGAGGCATTTTACTCTCTCTCCTTGTCGCTCCAGTGCTGTGCTGCTTCTTCCTCTGCACTTGACTTCCTCATCCAAGCTTACATCCATGCCCGGCGCATCCTCGACGCCCTTGCCGTCCTCAGGCTCTCCTTGCCAGCTGGAATGGCTCCAGAGGTACGTACATTTAGCGAAGTCATCGTCGGCCTGGTCAAAATAAGGCGTTTTGATCTCGCGATTCAGGTGTTCGATGAAATGACAACCAATAATAGGGTGCTGCCTGACGTATTTATAAACACTGCGGTTGTGAAGAGCTTCTGCGAGATGAAGAATTTAGACAGGGCCTGGCATGTAATCTTTCAGATGGAGAACCGAGGATTGGGTGCCTCAAGCTTGACTACATACAACGTGTTGATTCATGGATTGTGCAAGAATGAAAGAGTTATGGAGGCGTTGCAGGTTAAGAATTCCTTGTATGAAAAAGGCTTGCAGGCCAATGAAGTGACCTACTGTACGATCGTTATTGGGCTCTGCAAGGCAAGGGAGCTTTTAATGGCATTGGAATTGTTGATGGAGATGACTGGTTTAGCATTTGTTCCAACTGAGGCTGCTTTTTCTTTGGTTGTGGATGAGCTTAGAAAGGAGGGTAAAGTACAAGAGGCCTTTGACTTGGTTGTCTCTCTAGGAAAGATGGGAATCTTCACCAATTTGTTTGTTTATAATGCGCTAATCAATTCTTTGTGCAAAAGTCAGAAGTTTGAAGAGGCCGAATCTCTTTTCATAGCAATGAGAGGCAACGGTCTGTTGCCAAATGATGTTACTTACACCATACTGATTGATTCACTGTGTAAGAGGGGGAAGCTTGAGGATGCCCGCATTCTTTTTGATAAAATGAGGCACGAAGGCCTTCAGACTTCTTTATATCCTTATAGTTCCCTAATAAACGGATATTGCAGGGCAGGAAAGTTGACTAAAGCTGAAACCTTACTGCAAGAGATCAGGAGTGATGGTTTGATACCAAATGCTTTAATATATACGTCTCTCTTAAGTGGGTACTGTAGAGAAGGGAATTTGAATGCTGCTTTGAGGCTTCATTGCCAGATGCCTGAAATAGGTGTGGCCTGGAATACACATTCATTCACTGCTCTTATTAGTGGGTTGTGCCGTGCTAATGAGCTTGAGGAGGCAACCAAGCTATTTGATGAAATGGTTCAACACAATGTGGTGCCAAATGAAGTGACTTACAACGTCATGATTGAAGGATATTGCATGAGAGGGGACACTGTAAGGGCTTTCAAGCTATATGATGAAATGTTAGCAAAAGGCCTCATGCCAGATAACTACACTTACAGGCCACTACTATCTGGTTTATGCCTAACTGGTAGAATATCTGAAGCAATGCAGTTTGCGGATGATATATACAAGGAGAATAAAAAGTTAAACAACATTTCCTGTAGTGCCTTTTTATATGGATGCTGCAGACATGGAAAATTAGCGGATGCTTATCTGGTTTGGAAGCAGATGCTGGAGAGAGGAGTTCAAATGGATATTGTGTGTTACAGTGTGCTTATACATGGATTTCTTAAACAACACGAGTTTTTGTGCTCTTATATATTGTTGAAGGAGATGGTTGAAAGGGGCATTAAGCCTGACCTCATTTTGCATACCAATGTAATCGATATCTATTCTAGAATAGGAAAACTTACTGAGGCTCTAGGTTTTTGGAACCGGATGATGGTTCAAGAATGCGCTCCAAATGCGGTTACATATACTGTGTTGATAGATGGGCTATGCAAGGCTGGGTTTTCCTACAAGGCTGAGCTTCTTTGTAAAGAAATGTTGGTCAGTGGTTTCCTTCCAAATCACTTTACCTTTGGCTGTTTCTTAGATCACCATGTGAGTGAAGGAAACTTAGAAGAAGCTGTAAATTTGCATATGGTGATGCTCAGGGAGCACGTAGGAAACACCACTACTTACAATATTTTACTGAAAGGGTTCTGTAAAGAAGGACAGATTCAGGATGCCACCAATCTCTTAGCTGATATGAGGAATAATAATATTCTTCCGGACTGCATAAGCTATTCAACACTAATTTATGCGAACTGCAGAACAGGTAATTTAGAAGAAGCTTTTAGACTTTGGGATGAGATGCTGAGTGTGGGAATTAAACCCGACACTCTGGCATACAATTTTATGATATATGGGTGTACATTAGAAGGCGATCTGCAGAAGGCTTTTGCCTTGTACAACGACATGATCAGAACAACCATCAAGCCAAACTCTGCAACTTTTTTCACTCTGATTCATGGTACATCGGTGATGGCTGCTAGGGCAGATTCTTCTTTGCTTGGTGAATATTACAATTATTCAAAATTGAAATAGCAGTCAGGAAGTACCTTGCTTTGTCAAAAATGCTTGACTGAAGATTCCACGGCACAATTTCAGATACCACTCCAATACATTTTGTACAGAGAAACATCTTTTATGATGCCCTACAGCCAAATAAAAATTTTTGAGAGATTTGTTATCGATCTTTCCCTGTAATCCCTACGTTTGGCCGTCGTATAAATGGCTGTGTGCACTCAGACGGTAGTATTTATCCTCAGATCCTCAGAAGAACTGTTCAGAGGGATGTAGGAACTGTGAACAAATCGGGGTAGCATTCAACATAAACATTTCCCAAAATGATAAATTTTCCTCCCATCACTTCATTGTACCTTTTTGAGCCTCACATTCCATGTGCACGTGGATCACTTCGCAATTTCGCTCTTATAAAACAAGCATGATCGATCAAATTACGTCAATTGGTGCGGTGCAATTCCTGTAGCACAATCTCTCGTTCTTTTCAAGCAAGGAAAGCTAACTGGAGTTATATATCACTAAACAATTTGCTTGATCAAGCACAAATCGGGATTGAAATTATATTTGGGACCCTCTAATCTCTTATTTCAATAAATCTATAGAATGTTAAATTTGTAGAAATTAAAAACTTGCACGTCACCATTATAAGCTTGCACTCCACCATTAAATGCTTGCAGAAAAAATTGAATTAAAAATAGTGGTTGCTCTCCCATCCGTAAATTTATATAAGGCGTTGGCTCATGGCGAAGAAAATAGGAATTGCAGGGTTCCAAGTTCTCCCTTCGTATCTTCTGTGATTTGCTTGCGGTGAGGACTTCCCTCTTCCCTGCGGTTCTTTCTTCTTCGGTGGCTCACAGGTAAAAGATGAGAGAGGATGTCAAAGGAGAGGAGAGAGAAGAGAGGGATAGTTTTCTTGTAATCGTCAAGGTGATCGACGAGTGTATTCCTCGAAAAAATAAAATCCTCTGCAACTTTTTGGATGTGGGCAAATTGTCAAACCACGTAAATCTGTGTTTTTTTTATTTGCGAAATTTTTCTCGATCCAATTTTTTTCGTTTTATTGTCGTCGCATTTTTTCACAACAATTGGTATCAGAGTCGTTGTTTCAGATCTGAGGAAGAACAATGACCAGAGGCTAAGTGAAGGTTTCGGGGATGGAGAAGTTCGACGGCACAAATTTTGATTACTGGAGAATGCAGATAGATGACTACCTCTATGGGAAGAAACTTCATCTTCTGTTACTTGGAAAGTGACCGGAGAAGATGGATGAAGCCGATTGGAATCTGTTGGTCAACAGGTTCTAGGTGTTATTCAATTTACCTGTCAAGATTAGTTGCACACAACGTCTTCAAAGAGAGGACTACTGCGAATCTCATGGCGACTTTGTCAGGTATGTAAGAAAAGCCATCCGCAAATAAAAAGTTGTATCTGATGAAAAGTTATTCACTTTGCAGATGGCGAAGGGTACGTTCGTTGTACAAAATCTGAATACTATCACAAATCAATTATCGTATGTCGAAATTGAATTTGACGATGAGATATGTGAACTGATATTGTTGGCTTCATTGTCAAATAGATGGGAAGCTATGAGGATGACATTTAGAAATTCTGCAGGTAAATCTAAGTTGAAATATGATGATATTCGTGATTTGATTTTGGTTGAGGTGCGCATGAAAGATTCTAACGAGACCTCGGGTTCGAGTTCGACACTGAATGTTGATTTCAGAGGGAGATCACGAGTTAGGAACTCAAATAGAGGAAGATCAAAATCAAAGTGCAGATGCAAGAGCATGTCAAAGCTTGATCAACAAGTAACCTGCTGGAATTGTGGCAAAATTGACCACATAAAGAAGGACTGCAAAAATCCTAAAAAGACAAGGAACGTCAGTGCTAATGTTATAATTGAAGAAATATGGGATGCACTGTTGCTTGCAGTTCACAGCTCCGTTGACGATAGGATACTGGACTCAGGGGCTTCTTTCCATACATCTTCCCACCAGGAGTTAATGCAAAACTATGTTGTAGGTGACTTTGGGAAGATGTACTTGGCTGATTGAGCAGCTTTGAACGTGATGGGGATGAGAGATGTTGAAATTACCATCCTTAACAAAAAAAAGGGTCTTCAAAAAGGTCTTACACATTCCTGAGTTGAAGAAGAACTAATTTATGTTGGGTAGCTCGATGAGGGTGGTCATTCAATAGTGTTCTTAAATAGCACCTGAAAGGTTACTGAAGGAGCACTGGAGCTGGCTCAGCGTAAGAAGACTAGTATGTTGTATATGACTACTGGTTTAATTAACAGTGTTGATACGACAATTACAGAGAGTGCAGTAGACATGTGACATTGCAGGCTTAAACACATGAGTCAGAGAGACATGAAAGAGCTTCAGTCTAGAGGCAAGCTGGCAAAACTGAAGTAAATTGATCTCGGCATGTGTGAAAGTTGCATTTTGTGGAAACAAAAGTAGGTTAGTTTCTTGAAAGGTGATAGGGCACCAAAGGCAGGAAAATTAGAACTTGTATACACTAATGTGTGTGGACCTTCCCCAGTGACATCGCTTGGAGGCTCTCGCTACTACATCACATTCATAGATGAACAAAGTAGAAATGTATGAGTTTATTTTTTGAAGCACAAATCTGATGTATTTTTTGTGTTCAAAACTTGGAAGGTCATGATTGAGACAGAGATAGAACTGAAACTAAAATGTTTGAGACCTAACAATAGTGGTGAGTATATCGATGATGGGTTCAAGGAGTATTGTGTAGTTCAAGGTATCAGAATGGAGAAGAACATTTCGAAGACACCACATAAAAATGAAGTTGTAGAGCGTATGAACAGGACCTTCAATGAGAGCATGAGATTGCACGCCGGACTACCACCACAGTTCTAGGAAGAAGCGATCAACACTGCATTTTACTTGATCAACAGGGGGTCATCCATTCTATTAGACTATGAATTACCTGAGGAGGTCTGAAGCGGCAAAGAGATCAAATTTTCTTATCTTAAGACTTTGGCTGTCTTTCTTATGTTCTAATTTCTAATCAATCCTGATGCTTGTCTCAAGCTTGAAGCTAAGTCAAAGAAATGTTATTTCATTGGTTATGGAGATGAAACATTTGGCTATAATTTTTAGGATGATCAAGATGGGAATATTTTCACAAGCAGGATTGTGATCTTTAACGAGAAAATGATGTACGGGGACAAGGCTAGTACAAATTCTGAAGTAGCTCCTCAGAAATCAGTGTTCGTGAGGTTTGACAATCTACCAGAGGTCACAGGTAAGGGCAATGATGTGAATTACGAGGAGAGTGGATCTAGGGCACCCATTCCTATTATTCTGCAATCAGGTTCAGAGTCATTCACTACTTCAGCCACAGTTCTCAGTTCATTAGGGGTGTAAACGAACCAAACACGAATACCAAACACGAATAAACACGAATGAACAGAGCTTGTGTTTGTGTTTGGTTCGTTTAAAATTTAGTTTGTTTGAAATAAGCTTGTGTTTGAAATTTTTCGTGAAATCATTGTTCGTGTTTTTTTTTCTTAAGAAACAAGCCGAACACGAATTGTTCGTCAACGACGAACCAGTTTGACATCCCTAATATTAATATATATGAATAATATATTATATTAATTATATAACTTATATTATATAAATATAAAATATCTATATTAGTATACTACTAATATAATATATTAATATATTATTATTATTAATTTATTGTATATTATAATTTATAAAATTTAATTTTTAAATTATCATAAATTTTTTTATATATAATTATTTTAAATTATTTTATATTTCGAACAATAACGATTCGAACACGAACGAACGCATCACTGTTTCAGTTTGGTTCGTTTAACTAACTGAACGGAAAAAAAATTGTTCACATTCGTCTCGTTTACTTATCGACTGAGCAGACGTTCTCCACAGCATTATACACCAACTTTGAACTACATCTTACTGACATATGGTGGAGAGCCACAACACTATGAAGAAACTTGACAGATGAAAATTCTAGTAAGTGGGAGCTGGCCATGAAGGAGGAGATGAATTCCATGTTGGGAAATCAGACATGGGAGCTGACAGAACTTTCCCCAGGGAAGAAGACATTGCACAATAAGTGGGTGTACCAGGTGAAGACTGAGCTTGATGGTAGTAATAGGTACAAGGTTAAACTTGTTGTAAAAGGCTTTCAACAGAAATAGATCATTGATTACTCTGAGATATTTTCCTTGTGTTGAAGCTCACAACCATCAGGATGATACTAGCTATGGTTGCTACTGAAGATCTGTTTTTTGAGCGGTTAGATGTGAAGACAACTTTTCTTCATGGAGATCTTGAAGAAGACATCTACATGAGCCAACCAAAGGTGTTCGTGGTACAGGGTAAGGAAAACTTAGTTTGTAGACTGAATAAGAGTTTTTATGACCTGAAGCAAGCTCCTAGACAGTGGTATAAGAAGTTTGATAATTTCATGCAAAATGCAAGGTACAACAAATGTCAGAGAGATCATTGTTGCTATGTCTGGTACTTTAACAATTCCTATATTATCCTGTTGTTGTATGTGGATGACATGCTTATTGCAGGGGTTAGTATTGATGCAATCAAGAATCTGAAGTGGGAGATGTCAGAACACTTTACAATGAAGAATTTGGAAGTGACAAAGCAAATCCTTGGTATGAGGATTATCAAATACAGAGTCAGAGACATGTTGAGGTTTTCACAGGTGGAATATGTGAAAAAGGTGCTTAGTTGATTCAATATGGATAAGACTAAACCAGTTGGCACTCCTTTGGGTAGTCATTTCAGACTCAGTAAAAACCAGTCACCCAAGTTAGCGAAGGAACAAGACTACATGAGACAAGTTAGGGTTCCTTATACTTTAGATAATGGTTCACTTATGTATGCTATGGTCTGCACCAACCCAGATATTGCTCATGCAGTGAGAGTTGTAAGCAGATTCATGAGTGATTCAAGGATGGAATATTGCAAAACTATGAAGTGGTTCTTAAGATACTTAAGGGTCTCTTCAGAAATCTGCTTATGTTTCTAAAGAAAAAGCTACGAGGTACAAGGCTATGTTAATGCAGATTTAGCTAGAGACATTAACAGTAGGAAGAGTACTACATGTTATGTTTATACTCTTAGGGGTACTGCAGTGTCATGGGGCTTAAATCTACAGAAGACAGTTTTGTTTTCCACTATAGAAGCTGAGTACATCGCAGTGTCAGAAGCTGCAAAGGAGATGAAATGACTGCAGAGTTTCTTGGAAGAATAAGGTAAGGAGGTTTGAAAGGCTACTCTCTACAGTGATAGTCAAAACATCATATTCCTTGTCAGGAATCCAACATTTCAATTCAAAGCCAAGCACATTCAGATCAGGTATCACTTCAGTCGATCATTTTTAGATGGTGGATAGTTATTACTTGAGAAAATTTGTGGAAGTAAGAACCCTGTTGATATGTTGATAAAGGGTGTTAGACTTGAGAAACTAAAATTATGCTCAACTTTAGTTGTTCTTCTAGCATGAAGACAGAGATTTGAGTTGCAGAGGTGGAGGATATCACGTTTAAGGAAAATGATGGTGCAACCAGTGTTCTTGTCTCAAAGTGTGAGAATTGTTTGGTTTAGTGGAGCCCAGGCCCACTTGTAGAAATTAAATCCTTGCACACCACGATTAAATGCTTGCACGCCACCATAAATGCTTTTAAAAGAAATTGAATTAAATAGTGGCTGCTCTCCCCCTCCGCAATTCTATATAAGACATTGGCTCAGGGTGAAGAAAATAGAAATTGTAAGGTTCCAAGTTCTCCCTCCGTCTCTTATGCGATTTGCTTGTGGTGA